AGGTCACAGTTTATGACTGAAGAGGCCCAATGTGCACTGATGCCTCTGGCAATCAGGCCAGTGGGAATCAGTCTCTGCTAGACCCGGAACAGGACTCCTGCAGGAGCTCATCCCGCTCCTTTTGGTGCAGTTTCAAACCATGGCAGAGACAGGTCTCAGGATGCTCCTTCTCAGTGAGCCAGCTGACCTTCCTTCAGGTCCTGATGCTGGTGACTGCCTGCAAACTTCTTGATGTATCTGAGAGACAAATACCCTGGCTACGTGTAGGGAAGATGTGACCAGGGTGCCCACAAGGGTGTGTGGAGCTTTCACCTGCAGCTTCCTCACCTCAGTATGCACATTGGTGCCCTCACTGAAGGCACAACAGGAGACACATGGACTCTCCTAATGGGATGGTCACTTTTGTGTCTCCTGAGCCATTTCTTGAGTGGGTGCCAGAACCATGAACTGGGTAGCCTTACAGTCCAATTTAACCTGATGCAGGATGGATATGACAAATGTGGCTGCTTCCCAGCTCCAGACTATCATATCCTAACACCCATACAAGGAAGAAGCACTTACAGCTGGATGGCAGAGGGCTTCTCACAACCACATACCTGGCTGCCATGGAGGAGGGACTATAAGAGGTTCATGTCGGCTCGGCACCTGTAGCTCAGCAGCTAGGATGCCAGCCACATACACCTAGGCTGGCAGGTTCGAAAACAGCTGGGCCTGCTAAATGACAATGATAACTACAACAACAACAACAAAATAGCCAGACATTGTGGCCAGTGCCTGTAGTCCTAGCTACTTGGGAGGCTGAGGCAAAGAGAATTGCTTAAGCCCAAGAGTTTGAGGTTGCTGTGAGCTGTGACACCATGGCATTCTACCCAGGACCACATAGTGAGACTCTGTCTCAAAAAATAAATAAATAAAAAATAAAAAGACATGTCACCAACACTGTCAACAATCTCATTCCAATTGCTCTTAATGACACCTTCAGGCTCCATCTCATGGGGGCCATTGTCTCCAGATCAGGACATCATCCTTAGAAACTTGCCAATTTGAGCTCCTAAGGGTGACATTCAAGGCCTTTCACAACCTGATACAGGCATATTTCTCCCCAGAAAGCCCAGCATCCTTATCTCACAGTGTCCAGGCTTTCCCACTCCCAGTTCCTGTGCAAGAACTGTCCCCTAGTCTGGAGCACCATCCCCATTCTCAGCTGGGACTTTCCTCCTCCAGGGAGCTTCTCCTGACATAGGCAGACTATAGGTGAAACACCTATATGCCTCTGGCCCAAAAAAGCCGTTTGAGAGAGAGCAGTGAAAAGACTTTGGGCAGGCATACTTGTGAGAAACTCAGGCAGAACCCCATGTGGCCAGGTTAGTTGTGAGAACATGACCAAGGCTTTGGCTGGAATAGACTGTGTTAAGGAATTAAGGTTGACTTCATAAGGCCAATGAAAAAGCCCTTTGGAAAACTGGCCAGATACCCATCAGTAACCTTTCCTGATCTGTGGTAAGTGATGAAGGTCGCTTGCTGACGGGTCTGGGAATGGAAATGTGCTCAGGGACCTCAAGAGAAGAGGAATTTACCCAATGCATACAGGTATCTAATGGCACAGATGAAACTTGGGCTCATAAAAGGGTTTTGAGAAGTCCAGCCTGAAAATTCCTTATAAAAGTTTCCAGCAAAACCCCCCTGACTCAAGGCCTACATGGGAGCAGAGGTTTGCACACAAATTCCCGTATGCCCAAGAAGCTTCTTTATGCCTTGCTTGAAGATTCAAAGTAACAGCCTCCAAAGGGCAAGGTCAGCAAAAGCAGGTATTCAATCTACCTTGTTCCTCCCTAGCCTCAGGAATCATCAGATAAGAACAAAGAAGTAATGGCTAACAACCTGTTCTCCATTAAGTTATGTTAAATTGGGTTATGTTGATAAGATTATGTCAAAATGTGTATGTTGAGTGGATCATCAGAAGCTAATCATAAACTAGTCACATGATGTTTAAATGGATCAATGAGGTCATTGCTCTATTGTGCACATGTACAAAATTCCCTATATAAACCAATTGCAAATAAAGAAGCTCACCATTTTGCCTGAGCGAGCAGACCTTTACTTAAAACACAATTTCAATAAGCGTGCTTATTCTCCACGATATTGCTTTTCCACGAGACCCTTATGGCAACAGCAGACGCTTTTTCCCCCACCCCCACCCCCACCCCCAGCATCCTTCCACATTCACAGAAACAGTGAGTTCTGCTGACCCACACTGGGCCTTTGGGCAAAGTGAGAAACTCCGGCAACTGGTGTGCCAATGTGTTACATCTAAAATATGAAGGAGATATCCAGGTGTTGTGGCAGTCGCCTGTGGTCCCAGCAACTTGGGAGGCTGAGACAGGAGACTTGCTTAAGCCCAGGAGTTGGAGGTTGTTGTGAGCTGTGATGCCACAGCACTCTACCCAGGGTGACAGCTTGAGGCTCTGTCTCAAAAAAATTAAATAAATAAAATATGAAGGAGGAGCCCTCATAAAACTAGAGATGCCACCTGGGGAGCATTGCCATGGGCTGGGTACCATACTAAGTGCCTTATCTCAAATAGTATTCACCAAGCCCCTGTGGAAACTGTTCATTTCACAGGTGAGGAAAGTGGAGGTTGGAGGCTAAGTTTAAAGTATGTGCTCAGTATGGGGCAGAATTGGAGTTGAAGTCTAGAGCATTGTGGTTAATCACTAGGCAGAGTTGTCTCCACAGAGTTGCTGTGGCCCAAGCTGCCTCCACATCTGCTCTAAACATTGAGGCAGGGACTGCGTTTCACACATTGACAAAATGCTGGGACCATACAGGGCAGGCACAGATTGGGCAGCACCAAGCATGTGCTAATAGGAGGAGCCTCTTTGCATGACTTTGGGGCTCTTGGGGAAGGGCCTTGTTTCCCTGGATCATGGCTAAAGCTGGAGATGTTTGGACAAAGAGCCCTTGCTTAGGCCCAAAGGGTTGCCCTTGTCCTGAGTCACACAGACAAGCCCACTCCTAGTCCCTGAATCTAGGTTTTTCCAAGTTCACAGTTGTGCTGTCTGCTGAAGTGGGGCAAGGTTTATAAAGGAGGGCCTACTTACTGGAGGGTTAGGAGTCCAGCAGAGGCCTCTTGCTGTGGCTTGGATGTTTGTCCCCTCCAAACTTCACGTTGAAATTTGATCCCCAGTGTTGGAGGTGGAGCCTGATGGGAGGTCATGGAGTCTGGGTCATGGAGTGGGTATCTCATGAATAGATGAATGTCCTCCCTTGGGGGTGAATGAGCCTAACTCTGTTAGTTCCTGAGAGCTGGTTGTTAAAAAGAGCCAGGCACTCCCCTCCCCCTCTGGCTTCCTTTCTTGTGGTGTGATCTCTGCCCACATGACTCCCCTTCACCTTCCACCCTAAGTGGAAGCAGCCTGAGGCCCTCCCCAGATGCAGAAGCCCAGTCTTGAAATTTCCAGTCATCAGGGTGTTAAGCCAAATAAGCCTTTTCAATTACCTAGCTTCCAGTATTCCTATATAGCAGCATGATACAGAGTAAGACACCCATCAAGATAGATCATATAGGTGTATGAATTTTTCAGGCAAACCTGGGGCAAGGTGAAGAATGTTCCTGATGGAGATAGGGCCAGACGCTGGGGAGTAGCAGATACCTTTTTGGCCTGGGGACCGAAGGTCACCTGGCTTGCATAGATAACTCTGAGGTTAGGACAATTGTCTACTGCTGATTAACTCCAGAAGCCTAATTGTACCTTTCCATGATTCTAATTATTGCCTTTTCCAGAGCTCTGATGGGTAAAGTAGAAAGATATGCAAAGGGCCCCCTTTCAAGCCCAGAGTGTGTCACATGACCCACCAACCACTGCAATCTCCACTGCCCAAACCTGCAATGTCATTTCTGTGAAAAATAAGACAAAGAGGGATGATGGCATTGTGTGCTTCTTTACATTCTTTTAGGGGAAGATTCTGGGGTCAGCCATGTGACCTTTCTAATTTGAATGGCACTGTGTATATCACTTACAGTCACAGGCTCAGGAGCCACACTGCCTGGGTCTGAAGTCTAGTAGTCACTTTCTTGCTGTGACTCTGACATGGCCAAACCTCTTCAAGCTTCAGTTCCCTCAGCCAGAAAATAGTGCCTACCTTCTAAGTTAATGTAAGTATATAAAGGCTTTAAACAGGGGCTGGCACACAGGTGACATGATAGCTATTACTTTTATTACTTGTCAGTTATGTCACTGTAGTTCCAAAGGTAAAGTCCCAATCCTCTGCTGGGCTTAAGGGAGATTTCATTTGAAGGTGGTGGTCATCTTGCTGAGCTAAAGGAAATTGGGGGTAGGGACTGGTACTGAGTCAGGGCTGTCTTCTCCTTTTGAGGGAGGATAGTGGCCATGTAATAACGCACAGTGGGAGGAAAATTCTGAGTTAAGCATCTCCTTACCTGAAAGGATCAGCCAGCTAGCCTTGCTCTGTCCAAGGTGCTGTTTTGTTCTAACCCCTCCAACCCTTCACTTACTGTTTTGCTCCCATTTCAACATCTCCCCTGAGATCCATGAGGATAAAGGCCCCATCTGCCAAGTTCCCTTTTATCTCCAGGTTACAGGCAAGAGCTCAGTAAATGTTACAACGAATGAAAAGGAATGATTTGGAAAATGAGTGGGGATGAGGAGGTTTGGAGGCCTGGGGGACAGTGGGGAAGCCCCATCCTCATGGCTGCAGCACAGCTCCTCCTGGACATCAGCTTCATCTGCCAACACAGGGAATCTGGCTTTCAATGACTGATGTACAACACGCACATTTTAAAGATGTTTTAATAAAAAACAGAAAAACCAAACAAACAAAAAGCCCAATCCAAGAACTCTTGGTTCTGGGAGTCTGGGAGCAGCTTAGGCCTGTGGGGAGGGTAGAACCTGGAAGACACAGAACGGGCCCAAAGCCCCAGGAGGAGAGGAGCCTGGCACAGCTGACAGAGCAGCGGCACAGCTCACAGAGGAGCAACCTTTTCAGGGCTCAGCCCCCAGAAAAAAGGCAAGGTGGGCAGTTGTGGACAGCCTCAGGCCTTTTGTCGAAGTCACCAACCACTTGGGAAGGAGGGGAGGGTGGCCCAGAGCTCGATCCAGCCTATCAGCGCCATCCCCAAAGACCAGATTCAGCCCAGGATAGGGAGACGCATCCAAAGTTCTGCGTGCAGCTCACGCCTCTGGAAAGGCCAGACCCTGGACTGGACTGGCATGGAGGCAGAACCGGGCCGGACTCCCAGGGGCTGGGGGCCCGGAGCTCAGGGGCCCTGGAAGCCGCGGGGCAGAGCTCGGATGGGCCGAGGCGGGGGGTTGTCCAGGACCGGCTCGGGGCGGGACCGTGCTCCGCCGCGGCGCTTCTGCTTGCGCAACAGGTAGTTGGAGTACTGCACCTCGGGCATGGCCAGCTTGAGGCAGGCCTCGGTGGCTGGGCCAGCGCCGCCGCTGGGCAGGTCGTAGCCCATGATGTCGACTTTGCGGCTGGGCTGCCAGGGCTGCAGCTGCTTGGTGCGGATCTGCGCAGCCGGCCGTAGCGCGGGCTCATCACCGAAGCAGCGGCGCAGCAGACGCTGCCGGGCCTCGCGCAGCTCGCGGGCCTCGCGCTCCACGCAGGCGCGGCCAGCGCGTGCCACGCGACGCCAGAAGGTGGCGTTGAAGTGATCGTACAGCCCAGCGTCCAGAGCGTTCCAGGCGCGCACCGCCCGCGTCAGCGCCGAGGGAATGGTGGCGAGGCGAGAGCTGGCAGCGCGCGCATTGAGCTTGGCGTAGAGCACGTCGTCGAGATCCCAGGCCAGAAGGCGCCGCAGCAGCACCAGGGACTCGTCGAAGTACTCTGCGATCATGACGAGAGAGAAGACCTCCTCTACTTGGCGGATGAGGCGCGCCAGGTAGGCGGCGTCGTCGCGTGGGCTACGCTCATTGTCACCGCCCAGGTCGTAAGCCAGCGTGTTGTGTGCGAACATGGCGAAGTGCTCACCCGCGCGGTAGTAGGCCTGGGGCGCGCTCAGGAAGGCGGTGAGCGACGCGTTGGGTACGCGCCGGAAGGCTGGGCAGTACTGGTTGTAGTAGCTAAAGAGCGACTCGAACATGGCGGCCGGCTCACGCAGGATTGTAACGTACACTGTGCCGGGCGGCATGAGACGTGCAAGCTCAGCGCGGTCGAAGCGCAGGTGGCTGGCCAACACATGCGGCGGCCGCGTGGCGGGGTGCACGAAGTGCGCGGAGAAGTTACGCGGGTAACAGAACTGGTGCTCGCAGCTGGGGTGGGGAAGGGCCACAGTCAGATTGTGGCGCTCGGCAAAGCGGAACAGGATGTTCTGCACCGTCGTGCCCGCCGTTTTGTGTGTCTTCAGGAAGGCCACAGTCGTGTGCTTGGGGCGCAGCGGCGAGTCCCGCAGGGGCGGGCAGCTCAGCGGGAACAGCTTGGGGTACCTGCCGAACCCAGGGAGTGTGCAGGGAGGAGGATGTAAGGTGAGTACCGCACGACCCCTGCCCCTCCCCAGGAGCCTCCCATCATAGGCTTTGCAGCAGACACCGTGGTTGCAACCCCATGAAAGGCCTTGACCCAGAGGGACCCTGTAAACCACACCTGGATTCCTGAGCCACAGACATTGTGACAAATTAACGTTTGTTGTTTTCAGCTGCTAAGTTTCTTATGCAGAAATAGTTAATATAAAGGACAAAGATCCCTTGAGAGCCTGAGGAATCCCATTTTACAAATGTAGAAACTGAAGACCAGAGGATAAAAATCACTTACATAAACTTTAGAGACAACTCAAATAAACCAAAGCCTCTTGCTCTCTGTTTTTCTCACTTTTATTCTTTAACTGGCTTGTCGCTTTGCAGATGGGTGGTAACCCACTTGTTATGTTTAAGACCTCTGGAGCCTCATTCGTTCATTTAACCAATATATTTTGATTGTCCACTACATAATAGGCACTGTTCTAGGTTTGAGAAATACATAGTACATGAAAACAGATAAAAGTCTTGTCCCTCTCAAAACTTGTCTCCCTTGTTCTTGAAACAAGGATATTTGGGATTTCAAACCAAATAATCTGGCAAGGGAGGCTGGGTTCATTCACACCATTCTCAGGGGCAGACAGTGTAGAAAATGGGGGATTTGAGGCCTTGAGAGGTGTAGGGTTCACACAGTGTCAGCATGACTAGCTGGGTCACACATCACCAGTCCCTTTTTATAGATGTGAAAACAGGCTCAGAGAAGTGGAGAGGCTTGCCCCTTACCCAGCACAGGAGAAGTGATGAGGAATTGTCTGAAGTCCACTGGGTAGGCACTCAGCTGTGTGCTGCGGTACCCAGGCTGGATTCGAATTCCAGCTAACTCTAACTCTACGCCTTTGAATAAGCAACACAGCCCTTTCAGTGAAGACCAGCCCCTGCCCTGTGTGGCTCTAGAGGGAACGTAAGGAAAGCACCAACAGAACAGAAAGAAGGAGCCCAGTAGAAGGCTCTGGCAGGTGAAAGAATGGGAAAGGGAGCCCCTGGTTCTGTTAACCCAGGCAGGTGGCCGCTGGAGGCTCCGCCCCACTGAGGCTCTACCCACTGAGGCCCCGCCCCTTACCAGCTGAGCTGTGCCCCCTGGTGGATGAGGAGGCTTACGGCGCTGCAACCTAGCACCAGTAGCAGGATTTTCCTGCGGCTCATCATCTTGGTGGCCTGCTGTAGGTGCTGGATGATAGGTGGCATGGTGGAGTGTCCACCCTGGACAAGCCAGGAACTCACTATCCAGGACTCCCTTTGCAGGCACTCATGGGGGCTCCTGAGGTTCTGGTAGCAGGGCCAGTGTTCCTGAGAAGCCTGGCAGGAGAAGGAGGCAGACAGGTTTGCAGTGGACAGAGGAGATGGGCTCCGTGCCCCAGCAGCACTGCTCAAAGGAGAGTTCCAGCGGGTGGGGCGAGCAGAGAGGCCAGGGCAGATCAGATTCCTGCCTCCCATTACCAAGAATCTATCTCCTCACTGCTCCAGATAGACTAGTCTTGGGTGGAATTACAGGGTCTGGGGTGTGGCCAGGCCTTCCAGCTTATAGCCACTCCCTCCCTTGTGTCAGGTCTCTGTCTCTCCCCTTTCCCCAACTCTCCATTGTCCCGTGGTTATTTGTATCTGTCTCCACAGCAGATTGACCTCAATACCAGGGCTTGATTCAGCTCAACATTCCCCTTCTCCAGGACTCCTTGCCTGATGGCTTTAGCCAAGAGTTCATCCTGACTTCCCAGGGAGACTGAGCTCCTCAGAAACACTGACCAGGCCTTCACCTCCTGGAGTCTCAGATTGGTACTGCAGGCTTGCTCTGTTTACTGCACTGTTACAGACTTAATCCCATTTAGTCATCAGCATAACCCTAACACACTCCCATTTTACAGATGAGGAAACTGAAACTGTAGGAAATGATGCCGTTTTTCATGGTCACACAGCTGGTAGCAGTGGAACTGGGCTTCATACCTGCTCTTTCTGGCTCCACAGTCCATGCCTTTAGATGCCATGTGTGCTGTTTCCATAGAGAACTGACTTCCTCATCCCTGCCCTAGACTCTGGCAGTCCTGCATGCTTATGAGCCTCCAGCCTTCAAGCTGGGCTCCTGCCCGAGGGCCAAAGTGTGAGAAATCCCTGAGTAAAGCTGGGACTGGAAATCCTGGAACCCTATCTGGATTCCATTCCCAGACACCTGAAACTCAGGCAGTCGGTTAGCCAACCACACAACAAGAGGTGCCTGGCCAAAGCAATGGGATGGCAGCCTAGAACAGGAGTCAAAAGGGTAGTAAGGTGGGGTAAAGAAGAGACTTCTGCCTGTCGCCCTGCTGAGAATCTCCAGGAGAAAGTGAGCCTCGACCTCAGATGAGCTATAGGAACCAGTACATCAGAGAAGGGTCTGGTTTCCAGCCATGGCTTGAGGGCAGCCCAGCCCATGGATAGTCAGCTTAAGCAGAGATGCTTCTCAATTAGAGTGGGGTCTCTGTCTCAAGAGCCTCAGTTTCTGAGTTCAAGTTTAGTGTCATCCCTCACACATACCCTTCTCCAAAGGGTGGGGTGTAGTGGGTGGGAAACTTACGGGCATGTCCAAGAACATGGAACTAGGACACCTGGGTCCCAGGAGGAGTGAGGTAATGTGAAAACGCTGTGACCATCACCTTCCCTTGGGCCCCTGGCCTTGGCTTCCAATCTTCTTGGCACACCCCCCCCCCCCGCCATTAATCCTGGATTACACTTAAATCTGTTTGGGTGGAAAGATGTCCTGGTTGTGCCTGCCCTTCTCTATAGGCTGTAGACTGGTTTCCTCCACTGGCCTGCAGACAGATGTAATCTGCCTGGAGCCAAGGGGTAATGGGTCCAACCACAGAGGGCAGCCAGGGGCATAGCAGAGGAAGCCTAAGGCCCTCCTTGTCTTTTCAAGGATTGCTGAGACAGAGAAGGGCTGGCTTGGCCTGGTTTGGGGCAGCTTGTGGGAGGGAGTGAGAGCCCTTGTCTCTCTAAGGCTACACACCTTCTTTTGTGTGTCCAGCCTAGAGGACTTGGTGACCAGAGAGAAGTTTCCCAAGGGAGCAAAGTAGGGGACAAGTCAGTTACCACCTTTGCTAAACTTGCTGAAACCACCTTATTCATCAGGGGAGTCAGGGTCAGCTAAGGAGACCAAACCAGTGGATGGGGCACTACAGCTAACCTCTGCCTGGGGAGGAACTTCCTCCAGCCAAAGCGACAGTGGTGCCTGGTGTCCCTGCACCCTACTCCAGACCTTTCCCATGTCCTTTCCATGGCTTAGCTCTGGGGAGATGGTCAGACCCCATCTGAGGCCTGCTTGGGGACTCCAGCCTCTGAAGGTAGGCACCAGCTTATTTGTCCACCACCAGTGACAGGCTGCCCATCAAATCCAAACACAGCCCAGTCCATTTCTAAGCTGCTTCAGTTGTTCAAGTTCTGTCTGGGACCACTAGGAGTACCCTGCCACTTGTGTGCCCTCCTCAGGCTGCCCTCTCCACTGGTGCTCTTTCTGCCCTCTGAGAGCACACACATTTTTCTCCATGACAGACCTTCAGGTATTTGGAAGCAGTAACCCTGTCTCCTCTGGGTGGGCACTCAGCCAGGCCAAACAGTTCAGGTACTGAGAGAGGGTGTCGCTTGGACACTGGAACATGCCTGCCTACCCCTGGCAAGTTCACTCCATGGATGCTGGTTTTGGAAACCAGTCAAGACAGTGGCACCCAGGGAGGGGCTGCCCGGAACTGAGTTTCCCTCTGATCTTCAGGGTGGTTAAGGGTGGGTGGCTTGGCTGCTGGGGCCAGGTTTTAGAGCACTGGCCCTGGTTTCTGCCCCCAGATGCTTCAAACTACTCCCCATTCTCCCTGATGTCTTCTCAGGGAGAGAGGTCCCTGCAGGTCCCCAGGCAGGTCAGGATGCCCAGCCTTATCAGAGTGTCAGTGCTAATTTTAGTTGGAAAAATCTACCTCAGGCTACTGCCCAGTTTTGCAAATTGCTTTCCTTTCTCCAGGGAACCAAAGAAGATGTGAACTTGGCTGGAGCTTTGGAAACCGGCCTGGGTGCCCACCCACTCCTAAATGAACCCTTTCTCCTCTGTCCCCTCTGAACTCTGGGCTGATGCTGGTGTGCTTAGGGGAGGGGAGCACTGGCCTGGACACCTTATACCTGACTGATGACCTAGAGGCTGAGTCTTGACTTGAGGGATGGCACAGTTGGGTGAGGGAAACTGACCAGAGCACTTAAGATGAAGGGGTGAAGGTCTGAGGGGGACTGCAAATTAAGGGCCCAGGAGAGCAGATGTCTTTCCACCTACCTCTTTTTCCTCCTGTCTCCTCCCACCCCCAGCCCTTCTCAGTTATCCACCCCCACATCATCCCTGCCTCTGAATTCCTTTTATTCTCCTCTCTTCATCACTACCTACCCCCACCCCACCTCCCATTCCCCTTGATTTCACCCCAGCTTCACCCAGGGACCCAGCCACTAGGATCTGGTCACCCTTGGAGATAGGCCAGATTCACCCTCCACCTCGTCCTCTCCTGCTCTGCAGAAGTAGTGCGCCCCCTCCATGCTCTCTTAGCTCTAGGCCCCCATGACCTTTTCCCTTTCAGCCCCATCCTGGTCTGGTGCCCCCCACAAGCCCCAGGCGGGTCATTGCAGTACTCACTCCGCACGCGTGGGCTCGGCCTCCAGGCCGGTGGGGGTGGTCACTGCTGCCTTTCGCCCCTTGTCCCGAAATCCGCTCCTGGTCCGAGGGCGCTGGAGGCCCTGCGCGCCAAGTGCCGGTGGCTCGTCTCCCTGAGCCTGGATAGGATCAGGTGGCAGCGTCCACTAGGCTCGCTCCTCCCGGCTCTGCCCGCCCCCTGCCCCCCATCGCACACCGGAGGCAGGGCAGGGGCGGGGCCAGGCCCAAAGCAGGAGGAGAGGGAGGGGCAGGGAAGCGGGAATGGGAGGGGGATCTTCTGGCTTGGCGACTGCCCTGAACACTCTCCGGTTGTGGCTTTGGATGCTAACTAGCATCTTCCTCCCGCAGCCTTGCAGCCTTGCAGAGTCCAGTGTAGATGTAGCCAGCTCCTTTCTCTCAACAGAAGGGGAAACTGAGGCCCAGAAAGTGACTGGATACTCTGGCATTGCTGGGTTTTCCTGGGCTCCACTGGTCATCCCTGGGCTGGTGGAGCTTTTTTCCTGGGTACATTTACAAACACCCACATCCTCCCTGCCTCCTCTCCGGTGGTCTCCATTTCACTAGAGATGTGCAGCTCCAGCCTTGTCTGCTTCTCTCTGCCCTCACATGTGATTTTCTTCCAACCTGTCCCCAGCACCCTCCAAGGTTGCCCCCTGCTGCTCACCCATTTCTCTTCACTGAAACCCTTGCTCTGACACTTTGCACCAGAAATCAAGAGAACCCAAGTCCAATGCTGGTTCTGCATGAAGTCTCAGAGCCAAGAGGCAACTCTTTTTTGCCTTGTTGCTTCCAGCTTTAAAATGGGAGACTGTCCTTGGAGCCATTCCAAGACAGCAGAGGTAAGACACACAAAGGCTCCCTGAGACTGGGGAGTTGGCCAGCAGCACCTCCCAAAGCCATGCTAGACATCAAGAGTCTCACTAGTTCTGTGGGCCCCCTGCTTTCTCCTTCACTCTTGGCCTTGTACGTTGAGGATCTAGGAGCTGGGGCAGCCACCCAAAGCTGAGACTGGAAGGGGCTGGATACCCCTTTTTAGCCCCACACAGGAATTAGGTAGATTTTTTTTTTTTTCCTGAGACAGTCTCAAGCTGTCAGCCTGGGTAGGTTGCTGTGGCTTTATAGCTCATAGCAACCTCCAACTTGGGCTCAAGCGATCTTCTTGTCTTAGTTTTTCTATTTTTAGTAGAGACAGGGTCTTGCTTTTGCTCAGGCTGGTCTCGAACTTAGGAGCTCAAGCAATCCACCTGCCTCAGCCTCTCAGAGTGCTAGGATTACAGGTGTGAGCCACCTTGCCTGGCCAAGGTAGGTATTTTGTGCAGGCCCTTGTTAAGGCAGAGAAGGGAATGGAGACTCTCAGGAAAAGGAACTGCTTGTGGTCCCTAGGGCATGTCATCTCTCTGCCTCTCAGTCTTTCCCTCTGCCTGAGATGAGGAGAGGGTGCCCTGCCTGCCTCCCAGGGCTATTGGATAAAAAGAGGCCCCACTCTTACCTGATGTACTCTGCCCCAGAGATCCCTCCCCAACCCCAACACTTACCTGTACCATGGGGCTGCCAGCCTCATATGACCTTCCCGCCCTCTGCAGAACTCTCCAGTTACAGGAAGCAGAAGAGCCTTCCTTTGGTCTAGATTCTGCCTGAGTGGACCGACAAGCCTGAAGGAAGGGCACCACTGTTCTTTCTTTCCTGAGCCTGAGATTGTGATGTTCATGGAAGTGGGGAGGGTCATGGCTTGGGTAGGAGGAAAAGAACTTCCCAGTCAGAGCTAGGATGTGAGCCACCCTTCACTGGCCCAGCCAATCCTTTTTGTTGGCAAACCTTACCTTCCCTGGATCTGGTGCCTTGTTTTTTTTTTTTTTGTTGTTGTTGTTTTTCAAAATATTAATGGGAAATAAATGTTTTTCGTCACATGGATTGCTTTCATAATGCTTGAATCATGGCTATAGGCGTGCCCATCACCCAAATTGGTGTTCATTGTACCAATTAGGGTTTTACTCCTCTCCTTCTCCCCCACCCCTTTTTTTGAGACAAGGTGTTGTTCTGTTCCCTGGGCTAGAGTGCAGTAGTATCATCATAGCTCACTGAAACCTCAAATGTTGAGGCTCAAGAGATCCTCCTGCCTCAGACTTCTTAGTAATTGGGACTATAGATGCATACCACCATTCCTGGCTAATTTTACTATTTTTTTATAGAGATGGGGTCTTACACTGTTGCCCAGGCTACTCAAAACTCCTGGCCTTACGTGATCCTCCTTCCTTGCACTCCCAAAGTGCTGAGAATACACGTATAACCCAGCATGCCTGGCCTGGTGCCCCAGTCTTTTTTCCGTGCTCCCAGCTACCTCTCTATTGGGGGCAGGTGGTGAAAAGAAACTAGCTAGAGAAAAGATCAGAAGGGAGAGAGTGTGGGGAAAATGAGACCTTTTCACTTGAGTCTCCCCTCTCCCTTACTCAGCACACACATACACTTAACAAGTGAGCCTTGCTGTCAGTGAGAGGGCAGGACTTGGTAGGGGTGGGGAGGCAAGGATCAACCGCAGGTCCCAAAGGCCACAGGAGTGAAGTTGGGAAGTGGGAAGTGGGAAGCAGAGTGGGTCCGGGCAGGACTTGGTAGAGCTGGGGAGACAAGGATCAACTCTGGTCCCAAAGGCCACAGGAGTGAAGTTGGGGAGTGGGAAGCAGAGTGGGCCTTGTCAGTAGGCAAGAGAGACTGAGCAAAGAAAAGGTCCTGAGTCTATTTTGGAGACCAACAACACACACACAAAAATCCTATCCCCAGAAAGGTGGTTTCTTTTTTTCAGTAACTATTTATAGGGCGCCTCTTGAATGGCAGGTGCTGCCAAACAGGAAAAGCTCAAGTCCCTACTCACTTTTTTGGGATGGAGGCAGGGGGAAAGAGCAATAAAGACAACGAATGGTGAAGATTTGAATATATAATGGAAGCGCCAAGAAAGGAAAGAAATGTGGCAGGAGGCTTAGCGAAGAAGGCAACATTTTAGCCAGCCTGGGCAGTGGAAAAGGGGCTTTCGTGTCGCCCTTCCCCCAGGTCAGCAGCTGGAGCTCAGCCCGGGCGGGCGGCTCCTCTCCCGGCTCCGATCCCCTTTCAGGCCATTCATACATGCGTGGGCCGGGAGTGCGCGGGAGGACAATCAGACACTGTTTTATTATAGGCATCGGCCCCAACCTCCCGCTTGGCGCCCGCAGAGGGCATGAGCCTCTCGAGACTCCCTGGGAACGTCGGTGTCCGGCCTGTCACGCCTGGCCGAGGAGTCGGGCCGGAAGGCTGAGCCTGGGCTCCGGCTCACCGCGCTCCCTGGAGGCGGGACCGGCTCTCCCGGAGCCTGCGCGCCGGCATCCAGGTGCTGCAGCCGCGCAGCGGACTCGCACAGACTCCCGCAAGGCTTCGCGGCCAGGCGGCCAAGGAGCCATTGGAGAAACAGCGCTTCGGCGGCGAATCCCGTTTCCCTGTCGACGGCTAAGGATGGGCCTAGGTGCGCGCCGCCTTCCCACCATCGAGACGACAGGGCGCGCGGCGCCGCCGGAAGTTCCGGCCGGCGGGCCCGGTGGCTGGCCCGAGCTTCCGGGTTGGGTGCGCGTCTTCCTGCGGCTAAGATGGCGACCGATCTTCCCGAGCCTCCGAAAACCGAGTTGCAGCTGCCTCCGCCTCCACCTCCTGGGCATTATGGCGCCTGGGCTGCCCAGGAGCTTCAGGCCAAGTTGGCAGAGATCGGAGCTCCGATCCAGGGTGAGGCGCACCGAGGTCAAAAGGGGGCTTCGTAGGTCTGTGGAGAAGCGAAGCCGGGTTACCCGGGAGACCCCAGGGTGGGGGGCGAAGAGCGGAGGCGGGCCGCTGAGGCCTGATCTGGCTAGCCCGGCCTGCCCCATTGATCCTGAGCTTTGCTCCACAGGGAGTCGCGAGGAGCTGGTGGAGCGGCTGCAGACCTACACCCGTCAGGTAAGTGCTGGCGGTGGGACGTCAGGATAGACCGAGTTTCTGCAGGAGGCCTTCAAGACCCTTTCCGTCTGTGTCTTCCTTCTTCTCTCGGCACAACAAGCACTTGCTGTTTTTTCTTTGTTCTTGTCTTTGCCAGCTTTGTTGTAATCATTCCTAACCATTTTGGTTGTCTCTAGCGCTCAGCCCACATGGGCACTGGATAAATTTTGTTGAATGAGTGAAAACGTGGAATAGGGGAAGAGGTCCTTTTGGACTGACCTAGAGTCCTCTTTTCTTCTTTGTAGACTGGCATCGTGCTGAATCGGCCGGTTTTGAGAGGGGAAGATGGGGACAAAGCTGCTCCCCCTCCCATGTCAGCACAGGTAGGGAGGTTGTTCCAGCTTACAAGATCATTTCTGAGCCCCTCCTCTCACATGCGGTGTACTTGGGATGGGACAGGGAAATGACAGAATTGGGAGCTCTGCAGTTCTCTCTTTAGTGCTGATAACTTGTTCCCCTCTCAGTGTCTGCTCTCCAGATTCTACCTGTTACTTAAGATTGACCTTGAATATCTGGAAGCCTGATTTGATCCTCCTTCAGCTGGAAGTAATCAGTCTCTTTGCCCTCCCAGGGCACAGTTCTATGTTATTCAGTGAGACAGTACTCTCCAGTTTGATTTCCTACTCCCTCCCATTTAATAATCCTTGGGGTTTGCATTGCTCTAGCACAGTGGTTTCTGTTTATTTAAGTTTTCTTAACTTTCATATTTCTTCTGAGCTGGAATTTTTTTTTTCAGAGACAGAGTCTCATTTTATTGCCCTTGGTAGAGTGCCATGATGTGTCACAGCTCACAGCAACCTCCAACTCCTGGGTTTAGGCGATTCTCTTGCCTCAGCCTCCCAAGTAGCTGGGACCACAGGCACCTGCCACAACACCCAGCTATTTTTTTGTTGCAGTTTGGCCGGGGCTGGGTTTGAACCTGCCACCTTCAGTATATGGGGCCGGTGCCCTACTCACTGGGCCACAGACGCCACCCCTGAACTAGGATTTTATTCTTTTCTCTAAAGCAGTGGCTCTGACGTGTTCTCCATGTCACTTGATCTGTGTGTGGGTTGGGAAGTTCCTGGATTACCTTTAGAGGCATCCGAGTCCCCTGGAATTGTATACAAAATCTGTATTTGTAATATTTTCTGTGGAGAGAGTCAACAGCTTTCTTAAGTTGGTGCCAAAATTAACATTCTCTTCTAATAGCATGGAATATTTTCTCTTATGGAGCAAAAATCATGTATCATTTGAATTTGAATCCTAGCATCTGGTTCATAGTAGATCCCAGCAAATATTTGCAGAGTGAGTACATAAATGCTTCCTAGTTTATGATCTTTTCTTCACAGCTCTCTGGGATTCCCATGCCACCACCACCCATGGGACTACCCCCTCTGCAACCACCTCCACCACCCCCACCACCTCCACCAGGCCTTGGCCTTGGCTTTCCTATGGCCCACCCACCAAATTTGGGGCCCCCACCTCCTCTCCGAGTGGGTGAGCCTGTGGCACTGTCAGAGGAAGAGCGGCTGAAGCTGGCACAGCAACAGGCAGCATTGCTGATGCAGCAAGAGGAGCGTGCCAAGCAGGTAGAAATCTTGGGCGTGGGTCTCGTTAGATACTCAGTGTGGGAGAGGAAGCTCAGAGATCTGGACTAAAGACTACAACATAGCCCTTTGGCTAGAAGAAGATCTCAAGAAGGAAGAGTTATGGCAGGTTGGCCTGTGGGGTATTCGTATTGGTATGACCTTGTTTTTTCAGTTTTCATTTTGTTTTTTAGCAGGGAGATCATTCGCTAAAGGAACATGAGCTTTTGGAGCAGCAGAAGCGGGTAATGCCCCTCTCCCTAACCGTTGAGCTCATGGTCAAATCTGTTGGCTGTCACTTATTATGTTTGGTGCCTAAAATAATGTATGCTATTCACGTTTTCCTTGGAAGTTAACTTCATCCCCAAGTTCTAGTGTTTTCCCAAAGAATTCTGTTTTTCCCATAGTGTAGTGGTTGGCAGACTACTGACACCTGTATTTGTATGGCCTATAAGGTAAAAATGGTCTTTATGGCTGGGTACGATGGCTCACACTTGTAATCCTAACACTTGGGGGCCGAAGTGGGTGGATTGCCTGAGCTCACAAGTTTGAGACCAGCCTGAGCCAGAGCGAGACCTCATCTCAAAAAATAGCTGGGCGTTGTAATGGGTGCCTGCAGTCCCAGCTACTCGGGAGGTTGAGGCAAGAGAATTGCTTTAGCCCAAGAGTTTGAGGTTTCTGTGAGCTATGACACCATGGCATTCTACCGAGGACTACAAAGTAAGACTCTGTCTCAACAACAACAAAAAATTGTCTTTACTTTTTTTTTCCCCTCTTTAGAGACAGGGTCTCACTTTTTCAACCTCAGTAGAGTGTCTTGGTATCACCGCTCACAGCAGCCTCCAACTCTTGGGCTCAAGCAATTCTCTTGCCTCAGCCTCCCGAGTAGCTGGGACTACAGGTGCCAGCCACAACGCTCAGCTATTTTTTTGTTGCAGTTTGGCCCGGGCCAGGTTGGAACCCACCACCCTTGGTATATGGAGCCGGCACCCTACTTTAAATTTTAAAGTGATATAAGAAAAAATAAAAGAAGCCAAGAATATGTAACTGAATCCATACAGTAACCTATAAAGTGTAAAGTATTTACTGTCCGGCCCATGACACAAAAAATTTATTGACTTTTAGTAGTCCTACATGGTGTTATTCTAGGTACCATGAAGAGGCCTCTGGGCCAGTTTAGTCATTTGCATTGGTGTTAGACAAAATATGATGAGTATAAATTTGAGGATGTTCTATACGATTGGCTCCAGAGGCATGTTGTTATCAGTTGTTACCCAGTGGGTTACTTAGGAATAAGAAGTGTGGAGATATGTATGGAGTACTGTCTGTACCTAGAATGTGTGGGTATTTATAAACAAAAGAATTTAAAAGTTATTTCTATATAATTTAGTCTTTTGGGGAAGAAAGCTCTCATTGAAAAATAGAAGGTAGGCTCAGCGCCAATAGCTCAAGCAGCTAAGACGCCAGCCACATGCACCAGAGAGGGCGGTTTTATTCCAGTCCAGGCCTACCAAACAACATCAACTACAACCAAAAAAAAATAGCCAGGTGTTGTGGCGGGAGCCTGTGGTCCCAGCTACTTGGGAGGCTGAGGCAAGAGAATTACTTAAGCCCAGGAATTGGAGGTTGCTGTGAGTTTTAACACCATGGCACTCTACCCAGGGCAACAGCTTGAGGTTCTGTCTCCAAAAAAAAAGAAAGAAAAATAGAAGGTAATGTTTGACTAAATACCGAGTTCTCTACTAAAAGCTGGAAGTTTCCTGGAGTTTTCCTTGGCGTTAGTTCCAAGGTTTTTCCCTTGATAAGAGGTCTGGTCCATTTGGATCTGCAGCTGGAGAATGTGGGGGTGGAGGGGATGTCAGAACCAAGTGGTTCCTGATTATTCTCCTTGGGCCTATCACCCAGCTGAGGGGATGCATTTGCCAAGGGCTCCCTGCCAAACGCATGTTCAGCCTGTCTGCACTCCCACTTCCCACCTCTAGGCAGCTGTGTTACTGGAGCAGGAACGGCAGCAGGAAATAGCCAAGATGGGCACCCCTGTCCCTCGGCCCCCACAAGACATGAGCCAGATTGGTGTGCGTACTCCTCTGGGTCCTCGAGGTGAGACTCTGGAATGTAAGGGAAGGGCAAGGGAGGTGATTAAAAGTAAAAATTTGTTGCCTAAGCTGGAGTGCAGTTGGCATTGTCATAGCTCACTGCAGAAACTTCTGGGCTTAAGTAATCCTCCTGACTCTACCTCCTGAGTAGCTGGGACTATAGACAGGTGCCACCATGCCTGGCTAAGTTTTAAAAAAAATTTCTGTATGTTACCCAGGCTGGTCTTGAACTCCTGGCTTCAAGTAATCCTCCCATCTTGGCCTCCCAAAGTTCTGGGATTAGCATAAACCACTGCATCTAGCCTAGAAACTTTTTAAGTATCTATCACATTTTAAAGGTATATATATTAATTGTATAGTTCAGTAAATTTTTACAAACTGAACACAACATACAGCTAGCCCTTGGACCAAGTCCCAAAACTACCAGGACTGAAAAGCTTCCCAGGCTCACTTACAGTTGCCCTTTCTTCTGAGGTAACCATCCCTTAACGTTTATCAAGGGAGGTAATTTTTTAGATAGATGTTTTTTTTTTACTGACATTGGATTTCTTTCTCCTACATTTCAGTAGCTGCACCAGTGGGTCCAGTGGGCCCTACTCCCACTGTTTTGCCCATGGGAGCACCTGTTCCTCGGCCTCGTGGTCCCCCACCACCCCCTGGAGACGAGAACAGAGAGGTGAGACACTGCAGTGATTGCCTCCTAAGGACAGGAGAGCAGTGGCTTAGAAGATGGCTATTTCTGGATTTTTAGAGAAGGATTCTATGTAAAGATGGGGGACTTAAGTTCTTAGGGGAGTGGGAAGCCCTACATAGTTAAAATATACTGGCTCGGCACCTATAGCTCAACCGGCTAAGGCGCCAGCCACGTACACCTAAGGTGGCGGGTTCGAATCCTCAGCCCGGACCCGCCAAACAACAATGACGGCTGCAACCAAAAAATAGCCGGGCGTTGTGGCGGGCGCCTGTGGTCCCAGCTACTT